TGGGGTCTGTTGGTGGCTGACATGATTCTGGTGACCGATGGCCACATTTGTTATATCCATTTGTTGTTACCATTGCTTCTGGTGTTGACTCAGTATCTGCGTCCCTGAGGAGACATGAAGCACTTCCATCCCTGGGGGAGAGGGGCACTCTCTGTCTCATTTCCCACCGAAGACCCTGCAGACACCAGCTTCTGATAAACACAAAATCACATGGCCTTACTGCCTACTGACCACCAATGAACTGAGATAGTGGCTGACAGGTATGTGTTCCAGAGGAGGATTGCGAAAGGTCTTCATCGTCTCCAGATTGGAAGCCGGAATTGCCTGTGAGCAAACGTGTACATAGTTTGCGGACTCAGATTTTGCTGAGACTGAAGATATCAAATATATTAAAAATAAATAAATCAATATATGAATGTATGTACAGTGCTGTGAAGCAGTATTTGCCCCCAAAATGATTTTTTTTTTTCGATTTTTGCATATTTGTCACACTTAAATGTTTCAGACGATGAAAGTAATTTTAATACTAGACAAAGAACAAAGATAACCAGAGTAAATGCAACAAGCAGTTTATAGATGATAATTTAATTTATTGACGGGAAAAAAAAAACAATCCAACCCTACCAGCATCTATATGAAAAAGTAATTGCCCCCTTTGTTATTAAACCAACAAACTAAACTATTTTAATTTACATCTGGGGTCAATTTCACAAGACACACCCAGGCATAATTACTGCCAGTCCTGCCGAATCTAAAAATCACTGCAATAGAACCTGGCAGTATGAAGTAGGCGTATAGCAGCACACGAAGTCACAATCGAAAGAAATTAGAAATCCTTTGTTTTTGCAGTAAATATTCTTTTACTAATTCTATGCACTCTGCAGGGTCTCAGCCTCAGTTAGCTCTTGCACACTCAATTCAACAACACAAGGATTATGCATAATATAGCTGTGCTCTAACTTGTACACGGCAGCACCAGCCAGAAGCATTTTGACATGACCATTTAAAAATATTTCTGGTGGCATCTATACCCACATTTAATAACAGCAATGAGATACAGCCAGCAGCCATATCGCTATTCAATCTGCTCCAGCCTTAAGGCTGAAGCTAAGCAGGCATGGACTTGGTTAGTACTTGGATGGGAGACCACCTGAGAAAAGCAATTTGCTGCTGGAAGAAGTGTTGGTGGGCCAGTAGGTTACAATCATCTCTCTGGTGGAATAATCCCCAGTGCAGTGATGGGGGACGCTGTCTGATGAGATGTTAAACCAAGGTTCTGACTCTCTGTGGTCATTAAAGATCCTATGACACTCTTCGACAAGAGTAGGGGGTTCCCCGGTGTCATAGCCAAATTCCTAACCTGGCTCTTTCAACCTGCCGCCTAATCATTCCCTGATCTAATTGGCTATGCAATTTGTTCTCTCCCTCTCCACCTCAGACCTGAGGGCTCCCTAGAAAAAGAGATTTCAATCTCAATGGGACTTCCCTGGTTATTTAAAGGTTAAGTAAAAAATAAATAAAATACCTGAAGGTCGCCAAATCCAAAAAGGTATGCCTACTGCTGAAATTCTGCTTTGCTTGTAGAAAAGAGGGCAAAAAATGCAGCTCTTAAAAATGTAAATTACTTATTACAAAAGTGGATGACATGGATTATAAACCAATGCACAGTAAGATTTCACCCTTGCTTTGGCAAGAATGGAAAAAACAGAGGACTGAGTTTTGGGCAGGACCGAAAGTGGAAAGTCAATTGGTTTCCTGCCAAATCCCATAATCCTGAATAAGCCTTTTACGCTGCAGACATCCACATTGTTAAAAAAATGTTTTGTAACTTATGGACACTGCAACTAAAAGTGGTTTGGAATATTCTCAGAACAAGAAAAATCTAATTTGGGAACAAAGTATCTGGAATAAGGAGGAAACAATCATTTAAAACAATAAATAAATAAATAACCCTATATTGTTAATACAGGACATGACAGTAACTGCATAATTCATACTGAATACATCATTTATTGTAAAGCCAGCATGCAGGCATTTAAACTGGGCATCGTTGTAAAAATATATATATAAAAAAGTAAATTCTCATATCACACGAAATACTGTAAATCCAGTATTTTTCAAGTAAATTGAATCTGTTAGACTTGCAAAATTATGTTTAAAAGTACCAACCCCTTTGTCCATATAAGGCAAAGATTATTATTCATAAATTCATGCTGGTTGATACCATCCCCCAAAGCCTGTAGATACTCAATTGATATGCTGTCTACACATCCACACTATGAGCAAAAGTGCCCAAAGTCACATAATGTAACAACATTAGTATGCAAAAGCAGTAAAATCCCAACAAAATTTTAGAACATCTAGTTTTTATACAGCCCCAACACACGCCACTAAAAATGTAATCTTTCAGATTCAGTTTCAGTGACATGCAAATCACAAATTAATAAACTGATTAAAATTGGAGTCATCCTTTCTTTTGAATTGTGGACACAGTGCTGCATTTCATCAAAGATAAGTACATTTGATGGATACACAAGGGTGATAGCATTACGTACGCTTGTTTCAACTGACAATATAAACTATAGAGCACATTGCTATTGGGACACAGCATACTAATCGGGGACGAGAAAATAGTAGAAATCTATACTCTGAATAATTTAAGCTACATGAGAAACTTAATTTAACCAAAACTGTCAAAAGAGGCCAGAATCCTCAGACTTTTTGCAGCCCAACAGTACTGAATGATTGGTTACACTCTGGCTGCTGAATAAGCCTGTGATGATAAACGCACCTTTGGTGAGCTTTTGCATTTGCCTAATGGGACAACACTAAAGCAAATCTCCATGCACAAGTAGCTCAGTTAAGAGACAACAGGATAGAGAAATATAGTAGTTTGAATACAGAGGTTTTTTTGCCTCTACTCACAAACAGTTCTTGAACTGCTGACCATCTGGCTCATTTGGATTCATTCTTTCTGAATTTCACTGTCTGCCCCAACTCACATTCACGTATTTGTAAATGCACTCTGCTGTTGAATATAAATACTGGATGAAAAACTTGAGATTCATACTGTTTGCCTTTTAATGTGAACAAATCTACTAAATTAAAATATCTTGTCTACCCTACATTAACAAATAATTTTATTTATGTGAGGCCAAATAATCCATAGATCCAGGCTAATGTTTCAAAACATTTTCCAGTATTAAGCAACATCTCCATTTCCCCAAAAATGCTTGAATATGCATTCAATATATTTTATCATAGTTGAGCAGCCTCCTCTGAGAAATTCTGGAGAAATTGGGTTAAGACTCATTATTTAATCTACATCCAAAGGTTATGCAATTCTATCTCAGGACATTATGCATCAACAGTGAGATAGAACATTAAATGTGAACTGAGACCATTAAAGCGGGATAAGAATGAAATGAGGCCTTACCATGATATTGCTCCGATCAGATAAAATAGATGTACGCTGGCTCCTTGAGCAGCAGTGTCAGTAAAGGACTGGGAGAGCCACTGGCAGCATTCAGTGAGGGGTGAAGACTTGTAAGCATGAGGGGAAAACATGCGTCACTCGTATGGGATCTGATTAAATTCCCAATATGACCCACAGACCAGATGGATGCGGCCCAGGCCTCGGAAACAACGGCCCTTCAATTCCAGAGCCACATATTCCTTTCATTTCTCTTATTTTCTCTGAAGAGAAGGAAAAGAAAGGGAGACAGTGAGAGGAAAATGTGTTCTGTTTCCTTGTTCTCTTGTTTGGAGGCTCTTCCCTTGAGAGCTTGCTCTTGTGCCTGCAGATGTGGGGTTCTGAGGGTTCTTTCCCCAACGATCGCAAGGGCCGCTTTTAGATTGCTGGCAGCACAATGACTGACACTGTGCAGCAACACTGAGGACCTCTCCACTGGCAACAAAGCATTCTCTGTGCCTCTACTAACCCTTAGGTCTTTCATCACCAATCCCAGCCCTTCATCAAAACCCGCCCTCAGTACCATCGCCCCCTGTAGCTACTGTGGAAGACTTCCTCATTATCACTCTAAGATGATAAAGTTCTAAGACTGAAGGAAGAAAACGGCTATTCTACAGAGAACTAAATGGTTTATTGATTAGCCCAAATCTTTTCTTGGCAACAATATTAAACTTCAGGGTGAAATGACTAAGTGCCTGTCAAATAACTATGACTGAAGCTGTTCCAGTATATGAATGTTCCTGGTGACCAGGCATCAAAACCTGATTATACCCAGGCTGGCTATAAATGGCTGAATTACAGAGATGTGTACGATATGCCATAGAATTTCTCAAGGAGGGTGAAATTTAATCAATAGGATGTCTCCTCACACAACACCTTGCTCAACCTAATTACTTGCTTGCAGCAAACCACAGAAAACAACCTTCAATGGACAATTGTGCAAGCTCATGCAGCAAACAGACAGTGCTAAGGGAAGATGTGGCCAGAGTGACAAGACCTTTGGAGAGGAGTACATTCCTGCCAGTGTTAAACACAGCTCACAGAGCAGACTGCAGCATTGGGAGCAGAATCATGAATACATTGCGTTTTGTGACTATTTCATCATATGAGGTAAAAACACTTCCTTTGAAAGATGAGTAACATAATCTCTGCCCTCTCCATCCATGCCCAACCCACTCCTGTATCCATGACGATAACTAGACCTGCCAATGCTACCACAGCCCCCTGATGGTACTGTCCTAATAGACATAATTTTGAGGATGCTTCTTGTTACAAAGCCAGCATCATTACTTAGTTCCTAACATGCTGCCCCATGCAATGCATTACATTAGTCTGAGGCAAACACACTATAGTGATAAGTAAAACATAATTTTTCAATATGAAAAATAGACTTCCTTCCACAGAAGAAACACTCCGTTCATTGGACATACTCCTCTATAATGTGAAACTTCCTGTGACAGTTGAAGGGTCCTGCCACTAGAAATTCTTCCTGATAAGTATGCGCCCTGGTTACCTTGCCAATGAGCCTGGCTCTTTGGCGATGTGGTCAGTGTGTTTGACTTATACCCAGGAGTCTGCAGGATCAATCCCTGCCTGGGCCTTCCTTCAGCCTGCCACGTTCCCAAAGAGGCTTTTCACTTATGCAAATGCATAATTACAAAAATATGAACTTTGAGGGTTGTCCGAGAGTTTTCAGAACTATCGAACCATCAGCTTGATTATTCATGCCAGCAAAGTAATGCTTGGAATAATTTTGAACAGATTAAGACCCAAAGCAGAAGAAGTCATTGCCGAAGAACAAGCGGGCTTTCTTAAGGGTAGACGCACCACAGAACAGATTTTCAACCTGCACACCCTCTGTGAAAAGCACCTCCAGCACCAGATATAATTCTGCTGTGTCTTCATAGACTTCAAAAAGGCATTTGACCAGGTTTGGCACAATGCTCTGTGGGCCACCACAAAGAAGTATAGCATGGGGAAGAAGCTGATCTACACCATCCAGCAGCTTTATGCCAAAGCAACCACTGCAGAATTCGCCCAGGGTACCATCGGAGAATGGTTCCACACCTCAGTTGGAGTCCGACAGAGTTGCCTCCTTTCACCAACTCTTTTTAACGTCTTCCTGGAGTGGGTCATGAGTGATTCCCTTGAAGGCCACTGGGCACAGTCAGCACTGGAGGGCAAAACATCACAAACCTCAAATTTGTGGACAATATTGATGGATTGGCAGAAAAAGAAGCTGAGCTGGCACAACTGATAAATTGTCTTGACAGAGCCTCCACGAAGTATGGAATGGAAAACAGTGCTGAGAAATCCAAGGTCATGACAAATAAATTTGGTTCCATCTTGACATACATCGTAGTCCATGGCCATAAACTGGACGTAGTGCAGAAGTTCAAATATCTGGGGTAATCATCAGCGATGAAGGATCCAAGCCAGAAATCCTGATGAGAACAGCTCAGACAATGATCACATTATCCAAACTCAAGACTGTATGGAGGGACGACAACATCACCATCATGTATAAAATTAGACTCTTGTTAGCACTGCTGTGTTCAGTCTTCCTGTACACATGTGAAACATGGACACTTACAGCTGAGCAGCAGGGGAAGATTCAGTCACATGAAATGAGATGCTATCGCAGCATCTTGGGCATCTCATACTTGGATCATATCACAAATGATCAAGTTCGAGAAACAATCGAGCATCACATTGGCCCCCATGACGATCTTCTCACAGCTGAGATCTTCTCACAGGAAGCTGAGATGGTATGGCGATGTAACAAGATCGAGTGGCCTTGCAAAGTTAATTCTCCAGGGGACAGTGGAAGGGAAGGGAAAGAGAGACAGGCAGAAGAAAAGGTGGTCAGACAATGTGGAGGAGTGGACAGGAAAAAGCTTCATGGAAACTCAGGCTCTGGCACACAACCGGGACAGATGGAGTAAACTGGCTCACAGCTTGTCAGGACAGCACCCCGATGACTCCTCCCGGAGTTAAGGGCTCAAGCAAGCAGAGTGGTCCACCTCCCGTTTTGACAATGTATATCTCTAAGAGAATCCAGACATTTTCCCTTGAGATACATGCTGAACATACAGAAATGAGATGTGTTTGATTAAGACACACTCAAACAAGGGGTCCTGTGTTTATAGCTTGTGTTTGAAGAGGATATACAGCATCCTTGAGAAAAAGTCTTTAATCACTACAGCACAGAGGGATTCATGCTGAATAGAGATCGTATGATGAAAATCAGTCATATGCACCATTTGTGTATTTCACTATACGCATGTCACCAGTTCATAGACCAGTTCACATTAACACTATTCAGTTCTGTATATTAAGTATGCAATTAAAAATAGTGATGGCCTCATACATTTCATAACAGTAAATAAAACACAATGAATTTCACGAAACTAGTGATACAGGTCTATAGTACCATCTAGAGGAACAGAGAGGAAATGTGATTTGCTGTTGGTACTAGGGAGGGGACCAGTCAGTTGTGGCACAATCTCACAGAACTTTTAAGGTGGGATAGATATTAGATTGATACGTCCAGGATCAGTTGATGAAATGTCTTGAAGCATATCTGACTCCAAGAGAAATAAGTTACAATCTTTGTTTTTTAAATTAAACATAATGTAACAAAACATAGACCATGAGAATGTTAGGACGACTTTGATTATGCCACAATGCTACTTTACAAATAGTGCATATATTTGCTAACTTTGCATTATGCTACTAGATATAAAATCCTCAAGCCTTTGCAAATGCCCAAAAAATGATTGCAGTGCAAGCCCTTCCTTTAACCTTTCAACAATCTTGACACTATAACTGCCTGTGGAGCAGGACTAACAAAAGAATCATTATTATTATTATTATTATTATTATTATGTTGTAGACGTTGCACAGTAAACAAGTTTGCAAGATTTTTACTGGTGTACAGGTAGGTTATGCTGTCTGTCAAGTCACAACAAGGACCCTAAAGAGACAGCAGGCTTTGCAATATGTGGGCTGTTCCATGTAGTGTTGACTTTTGCAATGTTTGCAAGTTATAGCTGACATCAATTGGTCAAGGGTATGTGTAAGATTTTGTGGGATAGACCATAAGGCTCCAATCACCATAGGTAAAACTTTCATTCTGCTCTCTTGAATTCCCTGTAGTCTAATAATAATAATAATAATAATAATTATTATTATTATTATTATTATTATTATTATTATTACAGAGAGGTTTATTTGTATTTTAAGTGTGTGTCTTCAGATTAGAAGGTTATTTGTTATGAGAGATTTCACATTCTCTGTCCAGCAGGCTATTAATTTTTGCAATCTTCTGAGAAGGCTATTTATGGGCATAATCACTAAATTTATAATCAGTGCAGGCAATGCCCGAATTATGACCACAAAAACAAACAGTACACAAACTGAATGCAATCAATTCAATCAAACAATCAATCAAAACAATTTGACAGGTGGCCAGCTTCTTTGTCTATGAAACAAATAACAGCTTAAAATAATTCCAAAGCAGTGTGTGCAGCAAAGTTTTTTGGGGGGAGGTGACAAATGCATACATGACCAGATTATTCCTCAAAATATTTTGAGCCATCTTACTTTGGATAGAACTGTTTTTTAAGGGTACATGCATCTTGAAGCAACAGTGCTCAAAGAGAGTACTGCCACCACACAAAACATAAATTTATGGTAGTGGTAATTATGGTCATTTTTAGAGATGTATAAGTTCATGTTGTTCATTTTTATAAACACAAAAAAAAATTGCATAATATGTGTAAGTTATTGAAACTAAACATTCCAATTTGGAGTTGTACAGAATTTTTTCCTGGACTCATACCTCAACTCACCCCCAAAGGCCATTTATGTCAGCCACTGAAAAGTCACCTGTAGCTTGTATGCGTCTTAATTTGGAAAAGAGTCCACACAAATCAAAAGCACACATTACATCTGAATTTATATGGGTCATTTCATGGCAAATCACCAAGAGATGTGCTGAAGGCTGCCCAGAGGTCCTGCGGTATGAGGGCAAAGCAAAGTCTTTCTTGATCTTAGTGGCTAATCAGGCTAATGCTTAACACTGGTTTTTGTAGCATGAAGCAACTAGAGGTATTGCCTCTCCCCCTGAATAGGATGATAGTCCATCACAGATTACCCCCCAGCTCTTAGTTAGGTCTCCCTGACAATTTGCTAGTTCCTAATTATACACCTGGATGGAGTGAGATACTGTGGGAGAGAACGGCTTCTCTCGGAGCTTAGGTTGGGGAGTACAGTCAGCTTTGCTTTTGCAGCAGCTGGGCAGACATGATGTCCATGCTGGTGGCAAAGGATTCCAGCATCTTTGTCACTGACTCCAGCTGGGCCAGATGACTACCCAGCAGTGCCCTGTGCCATTCCAGTATAGTGCGGATAGTACTGCTGTCTGCTGAGACCATCCTAGCTCAGTTGTTCTGTCAGGACAGACACAAACATTCAGGCACAGACAGCAGTACAAATCCCAAACCAGTGTTTATTACACAGACTGTAGCAAAAAAAAAAAAATCCAAATATTTTTATCAGGCAGGCCGTGTCATTAACAGACGGGAAATATATGGCACCAACGCGGGATAATATAACATAATATAACATGACTGGCAAGAACAGGCCGTTCAGCCCAACTAGGCTCACAATAGTTCTAAGGCAGTGGTCAGACAGGCAGGAATTTGTTTACCAGAGGGAAGACTACGTGTAGAGATAGTATTTTAAGACATAATCAGGAGACAAAGCTGAGTTTATAACCTAAATCTGGAGCAGAAATCAGAATAATATGCAATACAAGCAGAATGATCACAGAGAATTCTCTCCGACACAACTGCTACACGCAGCACACAAGGGCACAGTAAAAGACAACTGAGTACAGGCTGAAAATAAAGGGAAACATACACACACCTAGACTAACAAATTAGACAGGGAACAGGTGGGAAAAAGCACTATGGAGGCAGGCCAAGAGAAGAGACAATACAAGGAAATACTAATGGTAAAACAAGGTACAATTAAGGGGCACAGGGAACGAGATGCACTGCAGGAAAGAATAATAAATACACAAGGAGACAAGAAAAACAAGACACAGAAAAGACTGATCACAGACTCCTTCCAATTCCAGTAAATACTGTCCTTCACTGATCCCAGTCTACCAATGGTAAAAGTAGATTTCTGAGCTGTCAGATTTCTCATTCTGCTGCAACTTTCTAGGTCAGTGTGAACTCCTCTGTGACTCCTGAGGCAACTATACCAGCACGACTAAATTAAATGTAATTCAATTTGGCCAGTAGCATTTGTTAGCTGGAAAGCTACAATATACACTTTTTGACTATCAGTTCTTTACTGTAATTCCTTGACAACTTTAAGAATAATTCTCTGAAAAATTAAGTTTTAATTATTAGCAGTAACCATTAAGTTGAATCTTTGTTCAAATCTTCATTGGAGAACATTCAGATCAAATGAATCAGATTTTATATCTGGAAGGGTTTAAGTTTTGCAAAAGTCTACAGTCAAGCAAAACGACTGACAGTTAATTTGCATTATTAATGCTGTGAGTTAGATTTAAGCATCCAATGTG